GAAGTCGGTTTGGTTCACCAATGTTTCAGTTCACTCATCAAAAGTGTATGACAACTAGCGTTAAGGGGCTCTGCTTGAATATTTTTTGAACATTTAGCTGGTGCCAACTGCTTTGCTATTCTTTGTTGCTTCTAAAATTTGCCAGAAACCAAAAAGTTATTTGATTCTCCATCCAGATTAAGAGTAATTAGCAAGTGGAAGCCTGATTGAAAAAAAGTTGTTTCTGTTCAGAGAAAATGATCAATTCACGATGTGCTGATGAGGTTACTTCTTGATTGTCATCTGATTTTGAAACACCTTTAATGTCTCTTGATAAAGGTAGTTGTGCATGAGGGCAGAGAATCAGATTCATAAAGCGAAGGTCGTATTAGCTGGAGAAGAAAATAGAAATATCGATATCATTAAGGGAAAATAGCTAAGGTAGGCATAAGAATTTGTGTACGCCAGGGTCCGACAATCGCTCTTGTCGCCCAGTAATTAATTTTGCCAGCGGCAAGAATCAAAAGATTTCCTATTCGATCACACGTACTGGCCACTGTGAACAACAGAATTATTTCTGAAATCACTCAACCACCATTCTTACCTCGAAGAAGACTCGTAAGGTAATGTTGGTAATGGTCAATCATCGAGATGACGATATTTTTGCGTCGTTATAAAGAAATTGTTTTATGTTGTTTTTCAGTATGACTACCAGTGTGTGTGTGTGTGTGTGTGTGTGTGTGTGTGTGTGTGTCAAGTGTCCAGTCAAGGGGTAGAAAAATGATCTGTTTGGGAAAAGTCAGAGGGAATCTTACGGTTGGATAGAATTCATACATGTCTTGGAAAGCAATTTTTCATGAACATACATTCACTGACATAATCGAAAAACGATTTCTAACGTGATATGATTAATCTGAGAAGAATGAGATGAGGCAGACTGCTAGCGAAAGTTCTGGCAATGCATGCAGAAGGCTAGTGCGGAAGAGGACGTTCAAGAAAGCAATTTAATGTTGGTGCGAAGGGTCAATTTGAGTAGCGGAATGACAATAAAAAATCTGGAATGAACATTAGCAACATGTCAAGGACAGACGACACAGAAAAATGTTCGCAAAGTATGAAGCATTGCCCTCCCCCCCACCTTCCCTAATGCTGAAAACGAAAGCAAGGGATCGAAAGCAGACAATCGCACAGTAGGGAAAGCTACGAATTGATTGGCGTCGACAAACACAAAAGATTAGTCAAGGTTTTCTCAATGGACATTTGATATAGCAGTCTGCACAGCATCGATTTATTGGAGTGAATTTGTGAATGGGTATTGGTTAAGCTTTTCAATGTGCGCAACAGCTAGCAATTCAGCATTTATTCAATGCATTTGTCGTGAAATAAATATTGAACTGTCACATGAAAAAATTATTCCCTGTGAAAATACAAATGGGAAGTCTGGGAAGCATGATGACTTTGTCCATTCGCTTCAGAAATAATTTACGTCCGCGTGATTTTTTGATGAACATCTATTGGCAGTATTGACAGGATATTCATTTTGAATTTTATAGTCAAAAATGTTTTATCTTGTGAGATATTGGTTGCGATCTTGGTAATTCCCGTTTTTTTCTATACCGGAACATAATTTTTCTGTCTAACAACTGGAGGTAACTAGCAAAGTTAAGGGAAACATTCACTCTTCCGAATCAGCTGATCCTCTCCAGTCTGATACTTTGAATATCAGTTGTCCGGTCGTCGATATTCTGTAGATGACATTAAGAAATAATTTCTCTGGAACGTAAGTTTCAGCGATACAAGTTCAGGCGAAGAGCGTAAATGAGGATGGCACATACCGTGAAGGTGCGATTGCGTATTTTGGCATCACATTTTAAAGTGAGAGATCCAAATTTCAGCGCTAAGCAAAACTATCTCAGTAAGATTTAATTAATTCAGTAATATATTAATCCTACCGTGTTTTGGTGAAATAAACTGAGAATACGGTAACAATTTGCCACCCTGCGAACGATAGGAAGGGAAAGTGGTATTATTTTGTGGTCATGCCAAAGCATGTGAGATCTTCTGTCATGCTCTTTGATTCGTGTCCTTCAGACTGTAATTCGCTTTGACCAATCTGATAACTTACCAAAAGTCAGCGCGTTGTAGACCATAAACGTAACAAAATTTCATACATGTTACATTTTACATGAGTTGACATGGTCGCGTGCTCACGACCCAGGGCGTACTGCAAACAGCTTTTAGGGTGGAGCACTTGGCGGCATTGGCTCTGCCCACGATGAATCAATTTCACCGCTGATCCTCACAACAATTCTAAAGACAAACGAAGATTTATTGCTGAACAACGCGCAGTCGCGCCAAATTCGAATCAGAAATTACGTTTAAATGAGAGGAATGACGCCACGGTTTTCAGAGAGCCAGTGTTCCCCACAATCGATTTAAAAATCTACTGACAGTAAGGAGGCTTGTACCGTTAGGGAAAATGAGCTGTCAAGAGATTGTTATTCCAGCCTGCGAGCTTCTCGATGTCAGCATGCATTTTGGATGAACGAGAGAGAGACATGCATTTGGGCACGTAATGATTCTTCTACGCTTGCCGCATAAGTAGCAATTTCTGCCTTACTGCAAAAGTGTCGAAGATCTGACAGCACAAGAGATATCATAAACCAAAGTTATTTTGAAAACAAAACACCGTGATAATGATAAATAACACTACAATGAGTGAGCAGTTGAACTTCTCGTGAGCACCTAAAGCAAACGACGTTGTGAATGAACTCTTTCCAATAAACGCCAGATCAACCACCGCCTAAATTAATTTTTAATGTTGCTGCTCATTGTTTATTGCCCTTTAAAAGAAGGATTGGAAAAGACGGGAAAGGGCTCTTGAAGGCTACGATCTGGATCAATCTGCGAGAGAAAGCTGGCTAAATTCCATCATAATGCGAAACACTCTCGTAGAGAACTGCAGGTCACAGCTAAGACAGATAGAGATCCTACACAGTTCCAAGAAATTAATGCCACGGAATAGTGCATGGCACTTGTATGATTAGAACAGGAAAATTCCATGTCATTGTGTTCCCAGTTAGGTTTAATGCCAGACCATCTATCTATATTAACGTTAAATGGTGGGCTGTTGCGATTGTTTTGAAAATTGTTTACATATACAGCCTAAAAATCCAACTCAACGGTCATAAACGTTCTGAAACATATTCCAGAAATATTCTATATTCTAAACTTGAGCTTTCCTTAGCTAGCTGACTGCAAAATGACCATAGCTTCATCTGCCATTTCATGTTCAAGACTGGCTGATACTGTAAGGCTAATATATCTTGGATTAGAATTAGCATGGCGGTTCTTTAGTCATCAGACCTGCTTAGATGAGAATGCACCGGAGAGTTACGATGAAATTGCTTTCTGCTCAGGAGGTCTGTAATGTTAGTTAAATCTGAAAGTCTTCACAGGTGTTTGCTTGACTTGCTTGATTTCTGTTCACTACAACTACCAAATGGGACGAGCCTTCGACGCCGAAGATGACATGGAGAAGAGCACACCATGCTAGCCGCACGTGAACACCATTTCCTGGCCAGCTGCTCTCGGCTACGCATTGTGATTGGTGGTTGGATAGCAAGGTGCGCGCTGATTGGTAACTATACATCGCACCGCCTATTGGCTGATAGTAGCCGAGGGCTCGTTGGATCGATACGGCACTGGGACCGTCCGCCACCACAAGTTAGCAACAGCAGCAGTGGCGACGGACGAGCGTCTAGAGAGACAGTCGAGGCAACGGGACCGTGCGTTGTGTAGTGGTGATTCTTGCGCTTGCTGCAGGGATACGAGAGCGGGAAAAGGACGAAGTGCCGACAGAAGGAGCAGAGACCAACGCCATACAACGGACAGCTGGAAGAATAAGCAGCAGCAGCAGCAGCGGCGGCAGCGGCGGCAGCGGCAGCATCAACAACAGCAGTGATGGCGATGGCAAGAAAACAACGCTGACGATGGTTTGTGTTAACGAAGCGAGTTCGCGCGCACGCGGCAGTCGTCGTCGCACCATCGCCAGCAGCAGTGCTTCTGACGACGACGCAGCTTCAGCCTGAGTTGAGCCTCAGCCTCAGCCTCAGCCTCAGCCTCAGCCTCAGCCTCAGCCTCAGCTTTGGTCTCAGCATCAGCTGAGAATATTTGTTTTAGCCGAAGTAGCAATACTTTCTCGCAAGCACGCACCGCACCGCTTTCGCCCCCGCTATCGCCGTGTTTGTCGTCGTAATCGTCGCGTCATTCTCCTCCATTCCTATTCGAGCGAGCAACTCTCGTTGCAGAGGCGCACAGCAGCATAGCGTTGTCAGTCCGTCCGTCTGTCCGTCCTCGTTTTCTCTTCCGCCACCGGTAGCGGTGCATGCCGGGACCAGCTGACGACTAGGGTGATCCTCCTGGTCGTTGATCGCCACAGTACCCTCAACTTCTTTCTCTTCCTCCTCTTCTTCTCTGCCCTTCGAGCCGAGCCGAACCGAGTCGAACCGAGCCGAGCCGAACCGAACCGAACCAAGGCGGCTGACCGGACCAAACCGA